TACCGGCGAACAATCCGCCTTCTAAATAAAATATCATTTATCAAAAAAACTTTCAACACTTCTCCTTCATTCTTCTCTAAGTCACATTTAAAGGTTTATTTGTTGCTTCTAAATAAAATATTATTTAAAATAATACTATAAATAAAAAAAAATATTATATTTGATATTTTTAAAACATGTTTAACTTAAAAGCATCCAAATGAGACCAGTCAATATTGAAAAAAAATATAGATAAATTTGGAAGAAACGATTGCATATCATCTATTTAAAGCCTGGAGATCTAAATCAGACAATTGAAACTGAAATAACCCAAATCAGGGTTCTGAATGAGTCAAGTTCTAGCTTAATCGAGTCAATTTCGTTTAATTTATACTAAACTTGAACTCGTGTCCCATAAGAAAGCTTAAGTTTGACTCATTTTGGAACTGGAATTCTTATTTTGAATTTAGACAAAAATAATTAATTAGATTCATATAAATATTGATGTATTAATTAATAATAATCAAGTCACCTCGACAAGCAGATGAGTCGAGTGAGGTCAAGCTCGAGTTCAAGCTCCTATAATATGTGAGCTCAAATTTGAGGACCAACTCAAACTCACGGTTCAATAAACTCATCCCATGAGCTTATTAACGAGTTAAGTTCAAGCCGACTCAACAGCCGGTTTGGCCCCACTTGCACCCCCTAATCCAATTTGTCATATGACATTAACCAGAGATTAGCTGAATGTCATTAGCGGTAATGTAACTATCTTTAAACAACAGAAAGGTTAATCACATTTGGATTAGTGATAATTACCGATGGTGGGGTCGGGACTCGGGACGTTCCTTTCTTCGTGGACCGCTAAACACCGGCGATCCGTTGTCACCGCCCCGATGTCCTCGCCGATTAAGAAAACAAAGCAACTGTCCATTCTTTGCAGCTCAGCCCCCCATCTTCCTTTTTATTCGACTTCCTACTTTTACAATTACCAATTTACCCTTTCTAACATCCAACGATTTACAATTTTACCGCATCCATGTCTCTTTCCCAGCTTTCACTTTACGGGCGACGTGCTTAGAGCAAGTTCTTGGAGGGTTGGGTCACCTGCAAGTGAGTTTAAGATATTTGGATTGTCACATGTAATTTTTATGTGATGAGAGTTGCAATTATTAAAAATATGAGGGCCTGTTTGCTGATAAGAGCCACTACTTATAAACTCAAATAGACTTTTCAAACAATCAAGCTGGGTTCCTTTTCGGGTAGGCTGAGGATCCTATATTTTATAGGAGAGATAAAAAAATTTTATATGACTATGTATTTATTTTTTATATGATTTCATATGTATGATAAATTTTATGAGGTATATAAAAAAGATTATTGTGTCATGAATGTGACTATATTAAATAGGTTTTAGATTTTGTTTGAGATGATTTTTTACTATTTTTTAAAGTAGTTTTTTAGAAAAAAAATTAAATTTTTATAATAGAAAATTTTAAGAATCAGTAAAAAAGCTGGGAAATTTGGGACGTCTTGTTTACCGCTTTTTAAAGTAGTTAAGAAGTTGTAAGAAAGTAGTCCCAAACGAGACCTTAATTTACTTTACATTAATGATGGTTGAGTAGGTCAAACAATGAAAGTAATAAGACAATTTATAAATAACAAATAAAGATAATATAAAAGATGTTTCCATTGAGCAAGAGTTTAACCTTGAAATGTGGTAAAAGGAGAAAAAGAAAATAATTTTAATAATTTATAAAAATAAATTATATATTTTCTACCTACTAGATGGGCGCTTCTTAGATGACGAGATATTAATGGGCCCATGAAAATACAAGATGAATATATCACATAAATTATGAAAAACTCAAGTCATTGTGGCTTTTTGAAGGCACAACTTGACCTTATAGAAGTGAGGAGTGACTACAAGTCATGAACGAGTGCCAAAGAAGTACAATATAAAATCATTGAAAAACAAAATTTAAAATTAAATCATTTAAACTTTTTTAATTAACGTGAAAATAATCCCAAAAAATTAAAAATAATGCGAGTTGTTTCCATAGGTAATGACTGGCTTTTTGATGTGGCGGGTGTTGTTGATGAGGCAGGCAACGTGGAGGTCGAGCGCGCTGTGACAAGAAGGTGATGATGTTTTTTGTCCAATAGCTTTCTTACTACTTCTTAAAACAAATTTCTAGTAACAAAATTAAAAATTGCGTACTAAAAAGATGCCTTAAGAACCATTAAGAAAGTCGTCCCAAACGAAGCCTAAGTTAGTCATTTACATCCCAAACTAAGAACTACTTGAGAGAAAATAAAAAATTATTTTCTGCGGGACCACCACCTAAGGCCTCGCTCGGACTTCCGTCGGATCACAACATGAGGCCCAGACTTCTGCAAGACCACCACCTGAGGCCCGGACTTTTCCCAAACCACCACATGAGGCTCGGACTTCCGTCGGACCATTATCCGAGGACCAAACTTCAGCCGGACAACCACCTGAGGCTCGTACTTCCGTCGAACCACCACCCGAGGTCCCGACTTCCATCGGACCAACACCTGAGGCCCGGATTTCTTCCGGACCACTACTTGAGGCCCGGACTTCCACCGGACAATCACCTGACGCCTGAACTTACGTTGGACCACCACTTGAGGCCCGGACTTCTGCCGGACCACCACCTGATGCCCGGACTTTCGACGGACCACCACTTGAGGCCCTCACTTCCGTCGGACCTCCACTTGAGGCCTTGACTTCTACCAGACCACCGCCTAAGGCCCGGACTTCTGCCAAACCACCACCTAAGGCCCAGACTTCTGCTAGTAGGACTTCTGCGCGCTGGACCACCACATGAGGACCGAACTTCTACGAGGCCACCACTTAATGCCAAGAGTTCTACTGGAGTACCACCCTAATACAATAGTCTTTCTAACCTCCCTCCTCCGAAATTTAAAAATCACCAAACCCTATTCTAGTTGCTATTCGCTCCCGCCTCTCTACTCTCGCGACCGACTCTGCTCTACCCGATTCCCTTCTATGTTTGCTTCTCATAACTATGCTCTGCTCCACACGATCCCATTCTTCGTTTGCTTAGTGTGCTGTGATCCGCTCTCGCTACTGGGGACAAAACTTCGATGCGACTGTTGCTCCATTGGGCATCGATCGATCCTAGGAGGAAAAACAACAAAATAAAACTTTTTCAACTTCCAACTATTCAAGGTAATCTTGTTATTCTTCTATTGATGTTTTCCTCTTGTATTGTCCATTTTATATTTATCCTATATCTACTGCACCGTCGCACAAACCACAAAGCTTTTCCAGTATCGTCGCATAAAGCTATTCTAGTCATAGATGAAATCTTCTTTGATTTTCCAGTCATAGATGAAAATATGAAATTTTTTTTTGACATTTGCTATGATTATTAGGTTGGGAAAGCATCAACTTGTTTCTAAGAAGTTATATCATTTCCAATTTATTTTGTTTGCCTCTGCAGTCAATTCTCTGTTTTCAGCGTAGTATTCATAAATTTCATTTGCTTGGTTCATGAATACACCGTCAAATCAACTTGAATTACAAGCAGATTGATTTTTTTATGAGTTTAAGGCCGGCTTTTACACTTTCGTAAGGTAATATTTGTCTTTGCTTCAATTGAGCTTGGTGAATGGAAAATGAACTAAATTTTTTAAAAACAAATTTAGAATTGTCAATGCCAATTCCAATCATGCATGAAAAAAGTTGAGGAAAATATTTTAAAATAAATTTTGGGCCCCCTCTAGAAAAATTTTCTAGCTCTGCCACTGCTTTCTGACCATTGTCTCATGCCGATTATAGTCCTTCTGTCCTCCATCACATACTACGATCCTTCCGACCTACATCGCCAGACAATGGTCCTTTTGATCTCAGTCTCCTGCATACTACGGTCCTTCTGACCTACATCGTCAGATAATGGTCTTTCTGACCCCCGCCGACTAAGATCTTTCCGACATTTATCCTATCAACTATGTTCCTACCGATAAAACAAACATGTCTATGTTGATAACAATTTTGTGGGGAAAAAAAAACATAAAGAAGAAAAAAATTATGTCTATGTTGATTTTTGTAACTCCCACCATGTAATGCACTCTATTTGACGTATATTTGTGACGTCAAGCCAAGGCTTTCTCACAAGGAAGGGCCTCATTTGTAATCGACTGCAAATACTAATGAATTCATTCAAACTGGGCCATGCCCCATTATTTTTTCTCCTTTTCAAGGGTGTCCACGTAAAAACTTTGGCGTCTCTTATAAATGCTACTCTCTCTCTCTCTTATCTGCTCGTGTGCTAGATATTCGTACAATGCTAAGACATTAAACTATATATATTTCTCTAGCGTCGCGAATATTCCAGGATGCAAAAATATATATTAATTAAATTTAAATAATGATAATTTTTAATGTGAATTTAATTTAAAATTTTAAAAAATGACATCTCTAATAAGATAGTTAATTAATAATTAAAATAATCTTATTCAAATTTTATCCCATATCATATTTATTTTAATGAAAGTAATATTATCTGAATTTAATAATAATAAAATGTATAATGACTTGATCAAATATCAATTAAATTAAATAAATTTATTTAATTTGAATAATCTGTTTTATCTAAATTAAAAATAATGACATAATATGATAAGTAATGCGCCTTTAAAGTACTAAGCCCATTCCAAATAACCAAAGAGCCTATCCTAAGCTCCCAACCCAATCTCTAAACAGTCCTTAAGCCCAAAACATATGCTCTTCCCATCATCTGTCGCTCTCCACTCTCTAATCTCGTCCGGATCCGGTCACCGCCTCATTCTTTCCAGAACACCAGTCTCACTCACATAAACCCCCTCCCCTTATGCTTTTTTAGACAAAACTACCCAATTGTAAGTTTAATTTATATCTCGCCCCTTATGGCAATTTTAATGTCATATCTAACCCTAACTTGCGAGCTTCCTTTTTACCTATAACCCTACATCATTTTATTTATAACCTCCATCCCTTGTCCAAATCCTCCGGAGTAGCTGCTTCCTCTTCTCTCCTCTCCTCTCTGCTTCTAAATTTCGGCTTCTGGTCATGAATTCAAACCAGAAGTAGTATCGATAACAGAAGTAGTAGCAGAGCTGCTTTCTTTATGGAAAATGAAGGGGAATTAATGGAGAAGATGGAAGAAGAAGAGCAAGGAAGTTGGGTCTCAGTACAAGAAACCCTTCGTCCCTATCACCTCTCCTCGCCGCACATACGCTAAACTTAACAGGACCAGTGGTTATCACTAATCACTTCACGAATAACTGCAATTAGTCCCACATCGTCGGACAGCACAACCATCAGTCCAACATTCTCACAACTCAAGACATGAAGCGCCCGGCAGCCTCTGACTCCATCATCACCCCCTTCTTCTCTTCCGGTGAGCTACAAAAATCCCTTTTTTGTTTCGTCCTAATTCCCATTAGTTCTTGCGGATATAAATTAATCTGTTTTTGTTGAGTAATTTGCAGAGGAAAGAGGAGAGATGGTGCTGGAAGAAGAAGATGATGATGATGAGATTTGCTGCGCTGCCGAAGGGGGCGGCGTCGGCGGGGGATTGAAGAAAAGAAGACTGGGAACTGAGCAAGTGCGAGCTTTGGAACGATGCTTCGAGGTAGAAAACAAGCTAGACCCCGAGCGAAAGGCGCGGTTAGCTCAAGAGCTCGGTCTCCAGCCCCGGCAAGTTGCCGTCTGGTTCCAGAACCGCCGCGCCCGGTGGAAAACAAAGCAGCTCGAGCGCGACTTCGCCACCCTCAAGTCCCGCTACGACACCCTCCGCATCGACTTTGATGCCCTTCGTCGCGACAACCACTCCCTCCTCGCCGAACTAGCCGATCTCAAGTCCAAGCTAGGCCCAGTCACAGCCGTCGATAACGAATTAGTCGTCGCGGCTGCGAAGCTGGAAGAGGAGAAAAAGGAAGTGGTGAGACCCTTTCCGCCGCCGGTGATGGCCGGCGACGGATCCAGCGACAGCGACTCTAGCGTTGTGCTCACCGACGACAACAGATTGGAAGGGGGACTTGTGTATCAGGCTCAGCAAATGTTCAAGATTGAGGAACATAGTTTCTTTGGCGGGGAGGAGCCCTGCAGCGCCTCCTTCTTCTCCGATGAACATGTTCCAACTCTTACTTGGTTCTGCACTGATCTCACCGGCGGCTGGTAATAAACGGTGGATTTCTGAGGCTAGCTATTGGGAATTCTAAAAGGACAAATTGTTGCGTGGGGCTGGGAGATCGATAAAGGCGGAGTTTTTCTTCAGTTTGCTTGAGAAATTTTTTGTAAAATGCATAGTGTATGTAATTTTTGCTTCATTGTCTTGCTTCCAGCGTGGTCTGTTGAAAATTTTCGCTTTTGCAATATCAGAGAGAAGAAGTCCAAGAGAGGTAGACACGAGAGATTAATTTCTCTTCTTTTTATCTTAAATATATTATAGGTTTATGTTAAGTATTGAATTGAAATTCTTACAAAAAAAAACTAAAAAAAAAAAACTAAAAAATTGGAAGATATTTCTCCTATAGTAAAACTCACATTGATTAATATTACTAGATTATTTTATATAATAAATTAAAATAAATTTTCGGTGACTATAAGGATGAGTTGATAAAATTTTTATTAAAAAAACATTTTATTTTAAAAATATATTTACTAAATAAATTTTATTATATTACATTTTATTTAATGTATTGGTTGATTAATTAGCCAAAATAAGGAAGGCTCTTTCACTAAACTATCATTGGATTAAGTCTTCATTTGGGACATTTTTTTACTATTTATTTTTCAAATTTCAATCACAATTCTTATTTAGCCGTTGTTTTTTCGCTGGTTTCAAAGAAACTTTGTGCTAGAAAGCTATTTTATATAGCAGTTTAAAAAATCATTTTCTTCACACCAACTTTACAATCAACTTTATAAAAAGTCACAGCCGTCTCCAAATGGAGAATAATATTAGGGTTTGTGAAATTACAACTTAATATGCAATTGGGTTAGATTGAATGATTTCATATAGAATTAGCGTTGAAACTAAATTTATTTGGGTATAAAATTATTGGAATCACAAACAATTTAAATTTTGAAAAAAAAAATAATTTGATATTAATGTTATTCTATGCTGGATTTGTTTTTTTAAACAATAAGAATGCTTTTATTTTTCTTAGAATTTTATCAAAGATAATTAAAATTTTAGATTAAGTATATAATTGTACATTTGAGTTTCCTATTAATTTTTTATAAAAATAATTTTTATAAAGTTTTAGGTCTTAAATAAATTTTGATGTAAACAGAACAGACTCATTTGATGGAACAATTATTACGTCCTCCGACCGGACGCAGAGGAACGTCCGGTCGGAGGCCAAATCCCGCCAAAAAACGAGTTGTACCGAGCAATACCAAACAATAACGAGGAATATCATCATTTGAAGACCCAATACCGAGTTATACCGAGCTAAACCAAGAAATATCAAGTTATACAAAAGTTATACCGAGTTTTTCCTAGAAAAACTCAATACAACTCGGTATTTCTCGGTACAGCTCAGTATAACTCGGTATTGGTCTTCAAAGAGCGGTATTCCTCGTTAATATCAAATAATACCTAGTTGTACCAAATAAATACCGAGTTTTTTTGGCGGGATTTTTCCTCCAACCGGACGTTCCTCTACGTCCTTACACCGGACGTAATAAAAGTTCCATTTGATGTGTATTATTTTATCAATTCTTTTATTTTTCAACTGTTTTGTTAAAACTTTGTTTCTTAAGCTGATAATTGATATTCTTCCCATTAGTGAGATAATTACAGAGACAGATTTTCTGAAGAGAGAGAGAGAGAGAGAGAGAGAGAGAAGTTCGGGGTGGGTGGGTTCACGTGGCTTTGGTCTACGGGAGAGTGACGTCGTCTTATTCAATATTCCTTTGTATTTATATATATAAAAAAATTGTCCGAAAAGTCCTAAAATTATAAGAATTATAATAAAATTAGTATAGTAATACATATTTTAAATCCTCACATATTATACTTATTTTAATATAAACCTAATATATATAAAATTCATTCTTATAAAAATTTAAATAAATTATTTTTGAAGAATACATTGACATATTAAATTAAGATGAATTTTACAACCACTAAATATATTAATATGACCCTTTGATATTAAATGCATTATTAAGTTCATTATAAATTCAATAAAAAATATTATGTGCTAAAAATTTGGTGATGTGAGATGCTAAAATTATTTATGCGAAAAAACTAAAAAAATGAGAAGAACATAGAGACAAGGGCAGAATTGTGTATGTAGCCCCCTAAAAAATTTAAAACTCTTAGAATAGTAAATATTATTTGTAAAATAGCCCCCTAAATTGAATGAATTCAGTAAATAGTAGAAGAAACAAGAATTTCTCCTTCCTCGTCATTGAAGAACATAATATTAAATATTAGTGGGAATAATTATCATGTTCCAGTTGTATAGATCACAAAATCAGTTTTGCATAATTGAAACTTGAAGCCCAACAGCAGGTTTAGATGTTAATAATCAGTAAGATAATGGAATATGATAGAAGTATGGTGAGAGTCATGGCGAGTGATGTAGGTCGCCAGTAATGATCGACAAAAAATGCAATAGAATTATTTTACTCTTTTAACTCTCAAACCTCCCCTCATGTAAGAAATGATGCAATATTTGTAACCTTTTGAGAGATAATTTAATTAATTTAGCTAGAATTTAGAACATTCTATCAAATTATCTATATTGATCGCTCAGTCATAGATTATTTATATAGTAATGTGTGAAGTAAAGATTTCATAATCAAATGATCTTGAGCTCATTAGATGCATCTTGTCAAGCTACTTTTTTTTACTATAACTCACAAAATTTAGAGATATCTGATCCTTCAATTAATATTCAGAAGTTTCCTAATATACTTAGATGTGCTTGTTTTTAATTCATTTGAACTTAAAATTGAATTATTTATAGCATAGATGGATTCGTCTTAGGGGGATTTACATACATACCACTTTGTTAATGCTATTTACACATCTAATACCTAAAACTTTTATATTACATTCCTACCACTCATATAAAAATTTAATATCGAATATATCGATCACTCCTTTATTTCATTCTTAGCATCCATACCACCCTATACATTTTAATATTTCATTCAATGCACTCATATTTATTATATATGTGGTAGACATACAATATTAAAATTGAGATATTAAATAGATAAATATCATGAAATAAATTGGTATGTACGTAAATCCCTCTTCTTCTTTATCTCTAATATACTAATACCACTTTAAAACTAACCAAAAAAAATTTTTATTCAATACTTACCTATCGCTCTTAACATAAAACAAAATCATAATCAATTTTCATCAATATATTCTTATACAAGAATTTTCTATATAAATTTTGCTACAATTACCAATATTTTTGAGAAAAAAATTATTAATATTAAATTTGCATTTTGACACTCAATAATAAATAAAAATCTCAACTTATATTTTTCTAAAGTAATAATCAATAAATTTGAAAATATATAATTTAAATTATGAATTAAAAAATAAAAAATTTCTATTCCAACTAATGTGCCACTGATCCATCAACGCCTTTCAATCGGGCCATACGCCTCGGAGCTTTGTGGTGGTCCTCGCGGCACAATGTCCCGCATTGCGGCCGCCCGGCCGAACCAGGATATGGTCACCGCATCTGCCACGATAGAATCCGAGCTGGATCATTCATGCTCACCTAACAAGCCGCTGAGGATTAGGATTACCGTGTAAATTACTTCATTTTTTATTTTTGCAAATACAACTAAGATTTTTAAATCCTTAGAGTAACCGACAGGTAATTCCCGATAGAGAGTCGGGAAATTTTATTTTGCATATTCTGATATAATTATGTTAAAATAATTTATAAATTATAATATTTAATTTAATTAATAATAAAAAAATAGGAAACAAATTTTTTTTTCCAAATTGGTGGGCTCACCGGCTGAGTTGGGATGGCGGTGTGGCTATGGAATCTAGAGGTTGGACCACGAGGGTGGGGCGGCCCCACCCGCACGTCACGTCTTCGCGAATCGCGACACGAGAAGAAAGCGACTTCTTTTTGTTACGATGTGCATTTAAACCCCTTTATTCTGCTGGTATTGCAAACTTACAGTCCGAGGGTTGAATTCGTGAAAGCCTGGCACGGGATTCTGCTTTAACGGTCGTTGGAATATTTACGACAGGGTTAAATTTATAAAAATGAAAAGTCACCGCACGTGATCGAGGTCAGAAACGCAAAAAACAAAAAAACAAGGGAATTTGAGAAGTAAAAGTCACCTGCTTTTAACTCTGCTTATAAAATAAAAACTATATGAAGGGCCCTTTTTTTTTTCACTTCCTTGGGTTGGTAATATGTATCCAAGTAAATTCAGTGATGTACTGATGTATATATTTTTTTTTTTTTTGTTTACTATAATGTATTTTTTTTAAGAAAAAAAAATGCATTAGTTTACTCTAATGTATGGGTGTTAATTTGGGTAAACAGGTTGGGTTCGGATCTAGCCCGAGTTGATCTGGGCATAAACGGATTGATCAGAACCCGAACCATATAGATAAATGAGTAAGGATACCCAATCCTAACCCGTCCGGAGCGGATTATCAGGTTGACCCGACCCGTAAACCCGTGGGTGCAGTCCTTGAGTCGCGACGCGGAGGCGAATGAGCGACATAGCATTGAAGCGGAATGGCGCGACGCGGTCGAGGCGAAGCAGCATATCTACCTTCGTCTGATCGAAGCCTAGCCAAGAATGCAGAGCGGCGGAGCGGCATGGCGCAACAAGGAAGTGACAGCGCGCGACATGGCAAGGCGGAGCGGCAGAGCGCCGGAGCGGCTCGCCAACTTGCATGGTGGCCTGACGTGACGGCAAATGGGCGACACGATAGTAACTGTGGAAAGCGGATAGACACAACATGTCAATTTTCCGGGTCAAAAATTCGAACCCGGACCCAACCCGGTTCACAAACGGCTCGACCCGAACCCAGATTTTTCCGGGTAATGTAAAAAATTACCCCTATATATTCTAATGTATATATGTATTCTTACGGATTAGATGTGTGACACTAGGCAACTTTAATTTAACTAAAATCCATATTTTGGTCCTTACTATGATTCTAAATAATGGTATGTTATTTCTCAACAACTTTTTACCATAAAATCTAAAAGTTCTATATCATTTGGTATTTCTAGGATATGGTCTTGTGAACGCATATCTATAAATTACTTTTTTATTATTACAGACTCACCCATGGCCATCAAGCCATCTTAGGCTTCGTTTGGGACGGCTTTCTTACTGTTTATTGAAGCAATTTTTTAGTACAAAAATTAAAATTTTTGTACTAAA